AACAACAATCATTTTAAGACGGTTCGCCCTTATCTGCTCGAGTGTCCAATAACGCGTATTTCCCAAACCCTCGATACCCACCCTCTTCGTCTTCGATCGAGCCGGTATACCTTTCTTCCCTGCAGGCCGGGCACCGGCAAGCGGCGGGGCGGCCGCGGACCGTCGGCCTGGCCAGCGGCAGCGCTGATCGGCGGGGCGGTCGCGGACCGTCGACCCGACCCCAAGAGGGACGGACAGGGGACCGACCACGACGACGACGACGACGTCGACGACGACGACGACGGCGACGACCGCGACGACGACGAGCGAAAGCGAGAACGGGAGAGAACGACAGCAGGGCCACAAGGACACGAAGTAGGCCACGAAGGGCGACAGCGGGGACACGAAGGGAATGCGTATGGGGCCACGAAGAGCGCGAACAAGCGGGGGCCACGAAGGGCAGATGATGCGGGGCCACAGAAGGCAACGATGGGGCCACTGAGGGTAGCAACTGGGCCACGTAGGACAGTGAGGGGCCACAAAGGGCGACAGCGGTGCCACGAAGGGCACGCACATCGGGCCACAACGGGCGCGAACGAGCGGGGGCCACGAAGGGCATACGTATACTGGGCCGCGGAGGGCACGGACGGGGCCACTAAGAGCAGCAACGGGGCCACGAAGGGCAGCGAGGGGGCCACGAAGGGCGACAGCGGGGCCACGAAGGGCATGCATATGGGGCCACCACGGGCGCGAACGAGCGAGGGCCACGAAGGCATACATACGGAGCCACGAAGGGCTGCGACGGGGCCACGAAGGGCAGCGAGGGGGCCACGAAGGGCTGCAACGGGGCCACGAAACAAAGGGATGGGGCCACGAAGGGCTGCAACGGGGCCACGAAGGGCAGCGAGGAGGCCACGAGGGGCTGCAACGGGGCCACGACGGGCAGCGAGGGGGCCACGAAGGGCTGCAACGGGGCCACGAAACAAAGCGAGGGGGCCACGAAGGGCTGCAACGGGGCCACGAAGGGCAGCGAGACCCCGATACCGAGGTAATTTGTGAGGGAGTCCTGAGCGTGAGCGCGACTCCTGGGTGCCTGGGTATCGGGAGCGCGGCGCTTAAGTAAATTGGAAGAAATTCCAACGCAAGGGTGCTATTCTTCAGTAAATTGTAAGCAAGTCTCCAGCGAGAGCGCGACTCCAGAGCGCTGGGAGAGCGATTCCTGAATGAATTGTCAGGAAGTCCCGAGCGAGAGCGCGATTCCTGAATAAAATGCGAGGAAGTCTCGGGCGGGAGCGGAGGTCCTGGCTAAATTGTGAGAAGGCTCATGCAAGAGCCGCTGTTGTTGTAAACCGGGGGCAAAGACACAGTTTGACCCTCAAGACTTCCCCTGATAAAAAACCGGGTGCGAGCCCCTGGAAGGGCACTTCAATCGGAAGAAAACATTGTGCACCAGACGGGGGGGATCAACAATAATAATTCTTCAGAAATGAGAGTTCAATAACAACAACAACAACAACAGCAACAGCAACAACAACAGCAACAACAACAGCAACAGCAACAGCAACAGCAACAGCAACAGCAACAAATACAACAACAGCAACAATAGCAACAACAACAACAACAATATCAACAACAACAACAACAACAACAAAACCCACAACATCCTCAACCGAAACAACAACAACAACAACAACAACAACAACAACAACAACAACAACAACAACAATTACTAGCACGTGGGGACACACCGTTCTCACCAGTGCCAGGGTTTTCATAGGAGGCGGGCAATACCCCCACTTTGTGGGGGGGCCGGTTCAAGCTCTACCAAATTTCCAAACGACTCTTCGCCACCACCCACACCCAGCTTCCCGCCCTATGACGTTCGGACACTTCACTTCGTGGCATGCGGACGACCGTGGCTACTATTCAGGGCCCCGCGGCCGACGACGACGGCGTGCGCGCGCGAAGAAAAAACGAATGTGTCCCGCATGGTATTATTTGACAGGGATGATGGCCCTGGCAGGTGCGCAACCGTTGTTGCAGAAGTTCGAAAAAGTTGCTCGCAAAAGCCCGTTTGACAGAAATGTTTAAAAAGTGTTGGGTTTCCTACGAATCCGCAAGAGCGCGCGGGATGATTTTTTGACAATTTTTTTTTGAAAAACCATTGTTTTTTTATGTTTTTATGTTAAAATCGCTACGAAAACTAAGGTTTTGGAAGGATTTCGTCTTGCGCGCGCGAATGTCCACTTTACCTTATTTTTTGCAAGGGATTCTTGAAGTTTGGTTATGTTAGAACAAGAAATGTCCACTTTAGCTTATTTTTTGCAAGGGAAAACCGATCGTAACAACACAACCGGATCTGGATGACATCGTTTTACCTGAGACTTCCTCACGGAAATGATGAAAATGTGGCTGCGGCCTAGGCGCGGCGGGGGGGCCATGCACCAGGGGCCCCAACAATAATTATTCTTTAGAAGTAATAATGTTCAACAACAACACCTACAACTACAACTACAACTACAACAACAGTAATAATAACAACACCAACAACGCCAACACCAACAACACCAACAACAACAGATACTACAACAACAACAACAACGACAACAATAACAACCATAAGAATAACAAGCATTATCATCATCATGTTAAGACTGTTCGCTCTTATCTGCGCGAGTGTCCGTTAACGCGTATTTCCTAAGCCCTCGATACCCGCCCTCTTCGTGTTCGATCGTACCCTTTTGGGGGGTAAACCTTTCTTCCCTCCAGGCCGGGCCCCGGCAAGCGGCGTGGCGGCCGCGGACCGTCGGCCTGGCCAGCGGCAGCGCTGATCGGCGGCAACCCGACCCCAAGAGACACGGACAGGGGACCGACCACGACGACGACGACGTCGACGACGACGACGACGGCAACGACGACGACAACGACTAGCGAAAGCGAGAGCGAGAGAGAGAACCACAGCAGGGCCACGAAGGGCACGAAGTAGGCCACGAAGGGCGACAGCGGGGACACGAAGGGAATGCGTATGGGGCCACGAAGAGCGCGAACGAGCGGGGGCCGCGAAGGGCAGATCATGCGGGGCCACAGAAGGCAACAACGGGGCCACTGAGGGTAGCAACTGGGTCACGTAGGACAGTGGGGGGCCACACAGGGCGACGCGGGGCCACGAAGGGCATGCACATGGGGCCACGACGGGCGCGAACGAGCGGGGGCCACGAAGGGCATGCGTATACTGGGCCGCGGAGGGCAAGGACGGGGCCACTGAGGGCAGCAACGGGGCCACGAAGGGCAGCGAGAGGGCCACGAAGGGCGACAGCGGGGCCACGAAGAGCATGCATATGGGGCCACGACGGGCGCGAACGAGCGGGGGCCACGAAGGGTATACAAATATTGGGCCACGAAGGGCAGCGAGGGGGCCACGAAGGGCTGCAACGGGGCCACGAAGGGCAGCGAGGGGGCCACGACGGGCTGCAACGGGGCCACGAAGGGCAGCGAGGGGGCCACGAAGGGCTGCAACGGGGCAACGAAGGGCAGCGAGGGGGCCACGAAGGGCTGCAACGGGGCCACGAAGGGCAGATCGGGCCATGAAGGGCTGCAACGGGGCCACGAAGGGCAGCGAGGGGGCCACGAAGGGCTGCAACGTGGCAACGAAGGGCAGCGAGGGGGCCACGAAGGGCTGCAACGGGGCAACGAAGGGCAGCGAGGGGGCCACGAAGGGCTGCAACGGGGCCACGAAGGGCAGCGAGATCCCGATTCCAAAATAATATGTGGGGGAGTCCTAAACGTGAGCGCGACTCTTGGATGCCTGAGTGTCGGGAGCGCGGCGCTTGAGTTGACTGCGATGAATTCCAACGCAAGGGCGCTATTCTGGAGCAAATTGCAAGCAAGTCTCCAGCGAGAGCGCGACTCCAGAGCGCCGAGAAAACGATTCCTGAATAAATTGTACGGAAATCCAAAGCGAGAGCGCGATTCCTGCGTAAAATGCGAGGAAGTCTCAGGCGGGAGCGGGGGTCCTGGCTAACTTGTGAGGAAGTCTCAGGCGAGAGCCGTTGTTGTTGTAACCCGGGAGTCAGGGGAGCAGTTTGAGGAAGAAGACGTCCCTGATAAAAACAGGGTGCGAGCGCCCGGAAGGGCATTTCAAATGCAAAAATTCAATGTGCTCCGGAGGGGGGATCAACAATATTTTGTCTTCAGTAATAAGGGTTCAACAACAACAACAACAGCAACAACAGCAACAACAGCAACACCAACAACAACAACAACAACAACAACAACAACAACACAAACAACAACAACAACAACAACAACAACAACAACAACAACAACAACAACAACAGCAACAACAACAACAACCACAACAACAACAACAGCAACAACAACAACAACAACTACGACTACTACTACTACTACTACTACTGCTACTACTACTACTACTACATTAACAACAACAACCACCACCACCACCACCACAACAACAAAAACAAAAACAACAACAACAACAACAACCACAACAACAACAACGACAACAACAACAACAACAACAACAGCAGCAACACCAACAACAACAACAACAACAACAGCAACAATAACAACAACAACAACACGAACACCACCAACAACAACAACAACAACAACAACAACAACAACCACAACAACAACAACAACAACAACAACAACAACGCAACGAGCATAATCCTCACCACGGATCCTCACTTCAGCCACGCACCCAGGGACAATGAATGACCGTTCGGCCCCCTCACTCTGATAATATCGTCGACCCCCAAAAGGTCTCGACCCATTCCCAGGGACGGCTTTTCATCCTGGGTCGTTTGTTGCCGCCCCCGAGGCCCAGGAAGGGCAATCAGAGTCCGAAAACTGCCCAAAATCTCCCGCCATGATTTCTTCTTGACCCGAGGGGGTCTGGGGCCTACGCCATCGTTGCAGGATCGGCTCGAAAGGGTGGCGGAGCAGGGACGTGCACAGCAGGAGGGGTAGGCAGCGGCGGCATGCGCGTCGGCCGCCTCCACGGACGCCGCGGGCGCGCGCTCAGCGGGGGCGCCTGGGCAGGGCGCGCGCTGACCAAAGAAACATGACTGCACATGTTGGACATAGATTGACAATTCTCTGTCACTATACAAAGAACTGTGAGCCACATCTGTATCGCAGAGCAGGGTGAGTCTGGGAAAGGGCATGCCACCCCTTGACAAAAGCCTTGCCCCGATGTGCGGCCGCCGCGACCTCCAAAACCGACCCGGCGGTTCGGTTCGGGGCCGGAATGGACGCAACGACTCCTGGCCCACTGGAGGCCAGGGGGCCAGAAAACAATCAAACGGATCCTGGGCAGGCCTGAGACCAACAGACGTGTCTCCTTCTGAGGGGCGACGTTGGCGGGGGGCTGGGCCAAGGGCACAGTTCAATGAGACCGGTTGTCAGGGCACCTGGAGGAGGGGAGGAGGAGGAGGAGGAGGAGGAGGAGGAGGAGGAGGAGGAGGAGGAGGAGGAGGAGGAGGAGGAGGAGGAGGAGGAGGAGGAGGGGGAGGAGGAGGAGGAGGAGGAGAGGAGGAGGAGGGAGGAGGAGGAGGGGAAGGGGGAGGGTGAGGAGGAGGAGGGGTGGGAGCCATCGAGCTCGAATCGGCAGCGCAGCGCCGACAGATCGGCGGTGTAGGCCCCTGGCAGAGAGCACCCGCGCGGTCATATGGACGGGGCGGGCCGTCGGGCCCCCTGTCGGCGATGACTGGGCGATCGGGGCCTCGAGGCGTCCCTCCCTGACTCGATCCCCCCCAAACGTTGCTCCTTAAAACGACGCGAAGATCGGGGCAAAATCGGATCGGGACAATTCGAAATCTCTGCGAATCGGCGGGTTTGGAGGATGTATGGGGCGCCGCGGCCGCTCCAGAGCGTCCCGGAACGCCCTGAGAGCGCTCCGGAACGCTCTGGAGCGATTTATCTCGACCCTAGCCCTGTTTTACTCCTGCTACGGGGCCAAGAAACAATCAAACGGATCCCGGCCAGACCTGAAAACAACCAGCACATGTGCATTCGGACTCGTTCCAGCTGCTTGCAACACCAGGCCCACCTCCCAAGAGCCCGCAAGCGAAGTCACGTCCACCCAGGACGCAGAAACACCCAGCTGGACGCAGAAGCACCTTTCCTCCAACCAGTGCCAAGAACTCCCCCGAAAGGCCCCTCCTCGCAGGTGGCGACATCCGAACCCTACCCCCGCCAACCACCGATTCTCCTCAATCGATGGGCGGCGGGGGTAAGGTTCGGATTTCGCCACGTTTTCGACGAATTCCGAACCCTACCCCCGCCGCCCATCGAGCTGCCTGAATCGTGTATCGGCGAGGGTAGGCTTTGGATTTCGCCGCCAATCTTCGGGCATAAGACAAGCGCGTCCCACTACTCGCAAAACAACTACTCGCAAATGGCCTGGATCCGCCGCGGGAGATCTACGATCCGTGACATGAATGAAAACATGTTGTTGTTGTTGTTGTTGTTTTTCTGACGTTTGTGAGTAGGCACTCTGCAAGCAGTGGAACGCGCTCGGTGAGACATCCTGGAGGGTCCCCAGGAGGCCCCGAAGAGGCCTCCAAGAGCTAACCATCGCTCGGACGTCCATTCCCTGTGTTCTTTTTCGGTTTCGTGCGTGGTTTCTTCGCCAAATGATCAAGGATGCTCCTCGATGGTCCTCGCCGAAAGAAAAATGCACACGTCCGAGCGATGCCAGGAGGCTTGACGTGATGTGCTTACTGAGGTAGCCTGTGTGATCATCGGCGCTCGGGCTGCGCTCGTCTGCAGGGTTGGCGCCCTCTTGCCCCTTGCTCACCTGTCCTCCCCTTGCCACCCCCATCAGCTTTCGGTAGCGTCCTTCGTCAAGCAATTGCGCACGTCCGGAATGCCCCTGACCAGAACGACAGGAGACACGCCAGAGAAGCAGCCCAGATGCAGTGTGACCTCTCTGGCAACGCCTCCGAAAGAAACACACACACACACACACATACATTGTCATGGCCCGCCGTTACCTTGCCCAACTCGCTCGCGCCCACGATGGCTATCGAAGGCCCCCTCGGAGTCTTCTGCGGTGCCTGACTCGACAGTGCTGAGTAGATCATTTGCGGCCTCAGGGGCGGCCCCCTCTTACGAGCAGCGAATGGCTGCCCTGTTTGAAAGCAGCGGTGTCAAAAAAAACGCTCAAGGCAAGCAACCCCGTGTTTGCACAGGTATTCGGTGCTGTGCACTCTCCCTTCGGGCATTCTGCTCCGTTCCGTTGAGAAGGCTATCGGCGAGCGAACCCCTCCCTGGCGCTCCGACGCGCAGAACCGCGGCCCCCCGGCATCGGCGCCTCCCTCGGCAGCGTCCCGCGGCCCGCAGTCGGCATCGGCCGCAGAGCCGCTCATGGGCCATCCGAGCGCCCTTTTGAGAGCTCGGCTGCGGCGGCCCCAAAGGAAGAGGGCAGCCCGCTTCTGGTGAGGCTTCGGGCTGCGCACGGGCAGCCCCCCCCCCCCCACCCCCAGGTAGTCCAAGCTGGCCCCAGCAGGCCTCCCGAAGAGTTCGGGGCGGAGTCGACACCCTGGCGCCGCCTCCAGCGGTGAGGCTTCGGGCTGCGCACGGGCAGCCCCCCCCCCCCCGGGTACTCCAGATTTCGTAATAAAAGGGAGGGGGTCTGGATCCTCCAAGACAAGCCATTTCAGACCCCCCCCTGTGGGAGAACCCTCCAAAACATCGCCCCCAGACCCCCCCAGGCCCTCCAAGATGGCCTGGAAGAGACCCCCCCCCGAAATGAGACCCCCCTCCCTTTATTACGAAATCTGGAGTAGGAGGTCTGGGATCTCGCCGTCCAAAAGGTCCGCCTCTCCGCGGAGCCGCCGGCCTCGCGGCCGGGCCTCGCCAGCGCCTGGTGCCGCGCGGGGGCGCGTCGGCGGGGGCCCGCTCTCGGCGCGCGGGAGGACGCTGCCGGCCCCTGGAACACGTCCCGATCCCTGTGACTGGCATCGCCTCGTGGCGACGCCGCTCTTGAGGCTTCCCTCGGTTGCTGACGGTGCATCCCCCCAAGATTGTCCTCGCCCTCGGGCTCGTCAGTGAGGGGGCCACACGCGAGCCCTACCCCATACCCCCCACGATTCCTGATGGGGGAGGGTGGGGTTCACTTCGTCTGGGAGCTCCCTCGGTTGGGCGGTGCATCCCTAAGATTGTCCTCGCCTTCGGGCGCCCCAGCAGGCCTCCCGGACAGCTCGGGGCGGCCTCGGCGCCCAGCCGCGCTGCCTCCGCTCGGCGCCCCGGGGGGGCGCTCCGCGCCCCGGGATCGGGGTGCCGAGACCACCCCGGGCTGCCCAGAGGGCCTGCTGAGGCCAGCCAGGACTGCCCTTAAGTCGGGCGCGTCCCCCCTACAGGGGGATTGTCGACGACGAATAGAGAAGACCCCAAAAAGGCTCCACAATGGTCAAGAAGTGCTCAAGACATAGTCCCCGGATTATTCTGTTTGACCATTTTTTAATTTTCCTCCTGTAGAGGGACGGGCCCGACTTGAGACTACCTGAAGGGGCTGTCTGCGTGCAGCCCGAAGCCGAAGCCTCACCAGGCCCGCGGGCCAGCTCCCACGGGAGCTGTCCCCTGCAGGGCAGGCCGTCCAAGGCAGGCGTTGCCATGGCCTTCTCGGACATGATGGCCCAGCCTGGCAGGCGGTCAACACCTCTGGGAGCTACGAACGCTCCACCGAGCTGAAGCCCCCCAACGCACCTGGGGGCCCAAGCTCGTGGAGACACGGCCCCCAAGAAAGCCGGGTGTCTCGTAAACGGGGGCTTGGCTGAACGGGAACTTCGGCCTGTCCACGCGCCCCAGTCTACGATGCCCCCGTCTGCGGCGCCCAGGCCCCCCGAACGAGGGCGTAGCAAAACGTGGAGATCGGCGTTCCCCGTGCCCCCGTTTGCCGTGCCCTCGTCTCTGGCGCCCTGAAAAGCAGTCCTTTGCCCCAGGGCCCGCAGCAGCTGAGCCCTGAGCCCCGCGCGCGCTGCTGGCTTCCAGCACGAGCGGGCCCCGGGCCGCCCGGCCTTCGGCGGGCGTGCCAGAATGGCTTCCAACTGTGCACAGGCCATCCCCCTACTTCCTCCCCCCCCTCTCTCCTCCTGCTCTCCCTCCCTCCTCCTCCTCCTCCTCCTCCTCCTCCTCCTCCTCCTCCCTCCTCCTCCTCCTCCTCCTCCTCCTCCTCCTCCTCCTCCTCCTCCTCCTCCTCCTCCTCCTCCTCCTCCTCCTCCTCCTCCTCCTCCTCCTCCTCCTCCTCCTCCTCCTCCTCCTCCTCCTCCCCCGTGGCCCAGGGTACGAGTTCCATGAATATGTAACTGCACTATGTGACGACGTGGTGCGCACTGAGAATACCGAGCTCACGACAAAGAGGCAGCACATGCCGACCATGCGATAAGACGGACTCCAAATTCGAAGCAGTGCAAGCTCCACTCCGAGCATCCGAGTAGCCATCGAATACGAAACATACATCGCGCCCCCCCACCCCCCGTCGCCACTTGACAACCAGTGCGTACGCTATCTCAGCCGATGCTGTCGGAGCACTTTCTAAAACGATATTCTATCAGCGGGCTACCTGTCTCGCAGCACTACTCAAGGGCTGTTGAATGGTATGTTCAAGGCATCTGCCGACCATAAGAACGAGAATCACAGCAATGAGTTACGTCTGTGCTAGACCAAGCGCTACTGAACTGCACCGTACACGCACATACGCACTGTCAGCCTCAAGACCCAACTCAGCATAAGCGACTCCCGTCAACAAACAAACATACGATACGAGTTCTGCAAATGAACAAGAAAGGGCACAAACGATGATCCCACCAGTCCTCTGGGCGTAAGTGGTCTAGGGTGGCCCCTCTTCCAACCTCATTATTCCACATCGGGGAGGGGGGTACCCCTCCCCCTATCCCATCCCCTGGACATGGACGGTGCGCCCCGCGAGGTGTCAGAGGGTACTTTCTCGCCCAAGACGGCTCCAAGAGGGCCTCAGAGAGCCCACGATGACCTCCACGATAGCTCAAGATAGCCTAAGGTGCCTCGAGATGGCTCCCAAGATGCTCCAAGAGGCCACAAGAACGCTCCAAGACGGCTTCAAAATGCCTCCAAGACTTCCCAGGAGGCCGCCAAGAGGCCAAAATCCTTCAAAAACCTAGTAAAATCAATGAATGTTGTCTTCTCGACCTTTCTCTTCCGATGGCCTTCCGAGGACTCAAGGCAGCTCCTAGAGGGCACATGAGGACCCCAAGAGAGGCCCAAGAGAGCCCCAAGACGGCCCCAAGAGCGCCCAAGAGCGATCCAAGAGCGCCCCAAGAGGGGCCCAAGAAGCGATTGTTGTGGTTCCCGAGGGGGGGTCGTAACTAGAGCTCTCGTATGTTTCGATCGATCTCCCCCAAGATGACCCCAAGAGCGCTCCCGAGTCTCCCAAGAGCGTCTCAAGAGGGCCCCAAGAGGCGCCCAGGAGGCCCCAAGAGGCGCCCAAGAGGCCTCCAAGAGTCTCCCAAGAGAGCCCCCTACGAGGCCCCAAGAACCCTTCAAAAACCTAAGGAATATCATTCGGGATATCAACGAATTGCACCTTATCGCCTCTTTGCTTTCGATGACCTTCCAAGGCCTCAAGATGGCTCCAAGATGACCTGAGGGCCCCAAGAGAAGCCCAAGAGAGCCCCAAGACGGGAATTCGTCGCAAGGAATCAAGCCAGAGGACGAGGAGGTCGCCAGCCCAGTACCATGGCGCATAGTGAAGGGAGCGGCTCACGACGCCCTGGGAAGGGGCCACCCTGCCCTGGAAGCAAGATGCCAAACTGCTTGGAGTGAGCTCCCTGTCAAGAATGCTGGCAGCGCCAAGCGCACCGGCAGCGAGCAGGCACGGTCACGTAAGGGCCGCGGAAGGGGCAAGGGCACAGGGCACCTGCACTTTGGGGACCTACTTCAAGACTGCAAGGAACCCGTTCAACGGAGACGAGTTCTGCACATGTCCATCGCCCCTGACCGGGCCCATCCTGCACCCAGGAGAGGCGTATACGCCCCCCCTGTGTTGGCCAGAGATGCATATACACCGCTCCTGGGCCCAGGATGGGCTTGGCCAGGGGCGGTGGACATGTGTACATCTCGTTGCCCTACTTCGGGCAAGCCGCATTCCTAGCTGGAGGCGAACGCTGGCAATGCGCTCTGCTCCAGACGCGAGCTGGCACGCTCGGAGTGAGCTTCCCTGCAAGAGTGCCGGCAGCGCGACGGGCACCGGACGCAAGCAGGCACGCCCGCGAGGCTGGCGGGAGAGTGAAAAGAGGCTGCCTATGCAACTCTCACTCTGATCAGGAACGCGGTAGAGAAGATCGGACAGATGATTTAGGGAACCGAACTCTATACACCGACGCTTTTTCTGGCCCTGCACTGAAATTTGCACAGGCAAGCGGATCCTGGTGTTTTCGGGATGCTGGTGTATACATGTTCGCCATTTCTCCAGGAAAACGGGGAAACGACTATGCACCACACCACCCCGACGTCGTCCCTGACCCTCAAAAAGTCCAGGGATTGAAAAACAGCGCGCCACTGGTAATGTAAGTGTTCCAATGTCCGATGACTCACCCTGACGGGTCTGATGGGGCGAGGCACGGGGCCTCGCCTGGCGTGAAAGCGTAGCGCCTCGTGTAGACACCGCTTGACCCGACACGGCCGCGCCACGAGGCTGACGGGAGGGCCGCGGGAGGGGCACCAGCCCAGGGCAGCTGCAGTGAGGGGGCTACTGAAGCAGGCGGTGAGAGCGCTCTAGGAAGGTGTTTCTTTATGTTCGGCGATGACGGGCGTCATGGGGGGGGGAGGGGAGGGCGGGGGGGGGGTATGACGTGACGCCCCCCCCCCGCCGTGTGGTTCCGGCACCACAGCCGCGCCCGCGCGCACGACGCGACGAGCGACGAGCGACGAGCGACGACGACGACGCGAGCAGCATGTAAGTGGCGATCTGCCCATTGCGCCTGTGTGCACCACAACGCCATGACGCCCGTCATGCCCCAAGCAATAAAGAAATGGCTTCTAGACAAGACTAGTTAGGGACAGAATGAAGAAACCTGACAAGAAGAGTCCTGGACTTGGCTAATCTCTCTTGAAGTGCTTGGGGTCCACACGCTGGCAACGTGGCAAATGTTATGATGTCTGCTCACACTGGTTCTCCAAGAGGTCCCCTGGAGGGGGCAAAGACCTTCAAGAACCACCCCCGAAACGCGCAAAGCTCCCGAAAACCGCGAACTCCGCGCCCAGATGGGTCCCCCCAGGAGCGAGAAGAAACGACACCCGCACCACCATCGCGAGGAGCATGATAAGAAATAGAGGGAAAAGAACTATGCACATACACCGGTTCTGGCCAGGCCCATCCTGAGCCCAGGATCAGTGCATACGCCCTCCTACCTTGGCCAGGAAGGCATATGCACCGATCCTGGGTCAAGGATGGGCCTTGCCAGGATCGGTGCATGTGCATAGTCCTCTTCGCCCGAAAAGGAATCGAACTCTATACACCGACGCGTCTTCCTGCCCTGCATTGGAATTTGCACTGGAGAGCGGATCCTGGTGTATACGGGACCCTGGTGTATACATTTTTCGTTGTTTTCCTGGGACATCGGGGAAAAAAAAATGCACCACACCACCCCAGCGTCGTCCTCGACCCTCAAAATGTCTTGGGATTGCAAAACAGCCCGCCACTGGCAATGTATATGCTCCAGTTTCCGCCATGGGAGGGTCCCTCGTAGTGATGCGGTGCCGCCGCCTTTCGGAGCCCCGCTCGAGACATCTCCGATTCTACCATGGACTTCCCTGCGGGGGGTGGCCCTGGCGGCGGGTGTCGCGTCTCCTTCCTCCGACCCCTCGGTGGCTGCAACAGGGCCGGATAGCCCAGGGGGGAATAATTAGGGAAACGAACTCTGCACTGAAATTCGCACAGGAACGCGGATTCTGGTGTATAAGGGACCCTGGTGTATACATTTGTCGTTGCTTCCCTTGGAAGACGGGGGAAAAGCATACACCACACCACCCCGACCTCGTCCCCGACCCTCAAAAAAGTCCTGGGATTGAAAAACCGCCCGCCACTGGTGATGCATATGTTCCAGTTTCCGAATAATATGTTTCCAAAGGCTCCGTTTGCCGACGTCTTCGACGAGGCACCCCCAGCGACTACGTGTAATGCCCGCTCCTAGGTCCTAGGCTAGCCTCACGGCCCCATACGCGGGGACTTTCTGACAAACCAGGACTTTGGCACACACGAGAAAACTACAGCCGTGGGCCGAAACACTCTCCATTCATCGACGTTTCTGGCCGCTGGCCAGGATTTGCAGAGTCCTGCGTTGCAAAGTCCTAGCTTGTGGGGGCCCTGATACGGTCGGGGAGTTTTGCTCAACGTGTCGCGGCGGCGGCCCCGGCGACACGCCACGCCATGCGAGCGGATAGCGTGTCACGCCGCTCTGCGGGGTGGGAAGCTTGGGAAAACTCGGGACGTGGACGCCTGGGGACTGGGATGTGAATAGCGTGTCGCGCCGAAACGTGGTAGGCCAAAACCGGCAGCGCGACAAGCTAATGGCAGAAGCTCCTGGGGCTCTGATATCCAACCCTTTTGCCTCCGCTGGACCCTCTCCGAAAACACTGACTGCCGCTCTGGCGCGCCGTGAAAGCAGCTGGGTTCCAACCTCGCCGGATCGAGCCCCAGAAAGGCCGCCGCGCGCCTTGCCGAGGGCGCGCGTGCGGTGCGAGGTCTGCAGCAGGGCCTTACGCTCATGAGCCCATCAGGGCAGGAATGGACTCTCTTCTCCGCCTCCTCTTCCTCCTCCTCCTCCTCCTCCTCCTCCTCCTCCTCATCATCATCATCATCATCATCATCATCATCATCATCAGCATCATCATCATCATCATCATCATCATCATCATCATCATCATCATCATCATCATCATCATCATCATCATCATCATCATCATCATCATCATCATCATCATCATCATCATCATCATCATCGTCATCATCATCATCCTCATCATCCTCATCATCCTCATCATCCTCATCATCATCATCATCCTCA